ATTTCAAGCCAGCCTGGCAAAAAAAGTCCAGAAAAATCTGTGAGTCTCTTATCTCCAATAAACTACTTAGAAAAAGCTATAAGTGGTGCTGTGGCTCAAGTGGTAGAGTGCTAGCTTTAAACACAAAAGAGGCTCAGGGACAGTGCCCAGGCTCTGAGTTCAAGCCCCACAGGAAAGGCCAAGAAAAAAAAAAGGATCATATACATCCTGGTGGCCACAGAGGAAGATGGCATGCTCACTCCTGGGATACTGCCACAGATCGGCATGGTATTACCTTTGTCAGAAAGAACCCTAAAGGAAACAGTAGAAGAAACAAGCACTAGATTTCTAACCAGTAAGTGAAACCACATCTTTGTTGCTTTAATATGTTTAGATCCTTGGAAAACATTTACACTATTGTGGGGCACTACAAAAGAAGGGAGAATTTAAAAAGAGTTTTGAGGAAGCCTCTGGCAAAGTGGGACAGAACTGGCTACTCAGACTGAGGAGTGTCCAATGGGTGAAAGCTATTCCTGTTTTATGTGGTTACAGCCTATCTTTGATTTTCATGTCCCCAATTCTGAATTTCCCCAATTCCCTCAATCCCAACTCCCAGAAACTTTTTTTTTTTTGGGGGGGGTCCGGTCGTGGGGCCTGAACTCTGGGCCTGTGTGCTGTCCCTCAGCTCTTCAGCTCAAGGCTAGCGCTCTACACTTGAGCTGCAGTGCCACTTCCAGCTTTTTTCTTTTTGCGTATTTGGTGCTGAGGAATCGAACTCAAGGCCTCATGCATGCAAGGCAAGTGCTCTACCACTGAGCCACCTTCCCAGTCCCCATAAACTTCTTAATCACAGACATCCTTGGTGTCCCCAATCTCTGGCATCCACTGGTCCTTTTTTTTTTTTTTGGACAATCCTGGGTCTTGAACTCAGGGCCTGGGCACTGACCCTGAGCTTCTTTTGCTCAAGGCTAGTACCCTACCACCTGAGCCACAGCCCTGCTTCTGGCTTTTTCTGTTTATGTGGTACTAAGGAATAGAAGCCAGGGCTTCATGCAGGCTAGACAAGCACTTTACCACTAAGCCACATTCCCAGGACTCACAGCCTGGGCTCTGTCCTTAGCTTTAGTACCCAAGGCTAGCAGTCTACTATTTGAGCCACAGCTCCACTTTCAGTTTTGTGGTTAAATGGAGATAAGAGTCTCAGGGACTTTCTAGCCATGCTGGCTTTGAACTGTAATCCTCAGATCTCAGCCTGCATGATGAAGATTACAGGTGTGAACCACTCACTGATGACTGGCCCAGAGGTCTTGTAATTACTCATATCCCAACATATTCAAATCTGAACTATGGAAGACTGGTCAGTCACTTTAAATCTCACCCATCCATCCGATTCTCAAATAGCAAAGTATACCCCAATCATAAACCTAGTTATCTCCAATGATACCCTAATGAGTGGTCTCACCCACTCAAAGAATGACCGTTCCAATCACTGGCCCCTATTGACCTAGTCCCATTCCTTCATCTACTAAAGGTCAATCATTAATATTTAGACCATGACCTAAGGCGTTGATCATGAATACTTAACACGTGATCTAAAGGACATCTTAATAACTAATGGCCCCAACCATTTAATCAAATATTGAATCCCAAAGTCTCCACAGTCCCCACATTATTATTGCCCAAAGAACTAAGAACCTCCAGTCGCTGACCCTCTCAGGCTTTCGATCCTTCAGCCTTCACCATGCAAATCAGTACCTTGGAAGAACCATACCTGCCGGGCGCCGGTGACTCACACCTGTAATCCTAGCTACTCAGGAGGCTGAGATCTGAGGGTCGCGGTTCAAAGCCAGCCCGGGCAGGCAACTCTGTGAGACTCTGATCTCCCATAAACCAGTCAAAAAATAGGAAGTGGCGCTGTGGCTCAAGTGGTAGAGCGCTCGCCTTGAGCTGAAGAGCTGAGGGACAGCGCCCAGGCCCAGAGTTCAGGCCCTACGACCGACCAAAAATAAAAGAAGAACCACACCTGACCCCCAACCCAGGAGAACCATGATCACCGCCACTGCCCTCCCCGCTGCCAGCCAGACAGCTCCCAGTAAGCCTTCATTTACCCCATCCATCCGCTGACACAGCGGCCACCCCTCTCACACACCTCAGCCGCCAACCACTTCCACCCGCGCCCCCAGCCCGGCCGCCCCGCCAACATGACCCTTCCGGGAAGCCGTACCTGACCCGCCAGGCCACCCCGGGGTCCGACTGGGCCGCGTTTCTCACGGTGACAGCCGACCCCTCTACCTTTGATTGGCACACGCCGTGGAGACTTCCTGCGAACCAATCACCGTCCGGCCGCGCGCAGACTCCACAGCGCGCTACTTTACAAAGAAAGGCATGCTGGGGGATTTCCGCGCTGGGGCAGGGCGTTCAAGATGGCCGCGCCCGTGGAACGCGCCCCTGGGCCCGGCCATAGCGGACACGGGGCCGTAAGGCACCAGGCAGCCTTGACGCGGACCAGGCTTGCGTGCTCTTCTGTGATCTTGGGGCACAAAGTTAAGACGCCCACTCAGCCTCTGTGACAGAAATGGTGGTGTCACCAGGTCGAAAGCGAACTTTCCCCAGCAGCCCACAGGTGGACGAGACCCCATAGCCAGGCACAGCTGGCTAACACCTGTAATTCTACTCAGCAGGCTGAGGGGTGACACCTGAGGATCGCGGTTCAAATCCAGCCTGCGCGGGAAAGTCTGTGAGACCTGTCTCCAATAAGCTACTCAGAAAAGGCCGGGAGTGGGGCTGTGCCTCAAGTCGTAGAAAAAGAGCGCTCAGGGACAGCACCCAGGCCGAGTTCAGGCCCTGGGACTGGCATTTAAACATCTCTATGGCTTTATTTTGCATGTGTCTCACTACTACTATTCCCAAATGCACTATTCGTGTGAACTCTTATCCTGTGCAAAGTTTCTACGGTTACGTTTGGATTCCATCATTTTGCCATTCTCAATTATTTACAGTTTCAAGTTCCAGAACTGGAAGTAGCACTGTGTGGCTCTCTGGAACTAGCGCTGTGTGGATCATGTGGTAGAGTGCTTCCCTTGAGCTGAAGAACTCGACAGCGCCCAGGTCCAGAGTTCAAGTCCCATGACCGACAAAATAAATGAATAAAAATTTCAGAACTAGTGAAATTAAAGGGTATGGAATTGTTGCTGGTATTGGTCTGTGAATTAGGAAAAAAATGATATATTCCATTAGCTTATACTATGTCACAGTCCTAATATCCTCTGAATTTCTGGGCTTAGAAAATTTGTCTTGGTGGGCTGGGAAGGTGGCTCAACGGTAGAGTGCTTGCCTCACATGGTCCTGGGTTCAATTCCTCAGCAAAAGCGGGAAGTGGCGCTGTGGCTCAAGTGGTACCATGCTAGCTTGAGCTGAAGAGCTGAGGGACAGCGCCCAGATCCAGAGTTCAAGATCCACCACCCCAAAAATATGGCTTAATAGTAGAGTGCTTGCCTAGCACGCATGAAGCCATGGGTTTGATTCCTCAGTACCACATAAAACAGAAAAAAGCGAGAAGTGATACTGAGGCACAAGTGGTATAGTGCTACGCTTGAGCAAAAGAAGCCTAGGGATGGTGCACAGGCTCTGAATTCAAACCGCAGGGCTGGCAACAACAACAACAACAAAAAGCTTCATATTTAAGCATTAATTGGCCACAAGCTCTGGGATTTAACTCTATGAGAATGTGATATTGGGTGGGTTTCTGATGGTCTCTGTATTGTCTCCTCATGTCTCAAATAGTGTATGGCAAACAAAAGCAACTTCATTAATTGAATGAAAGTGTTTCTTCCTTGGATCCCATTTTGTTTTGCAGTTTCTGGATTATTAAAGAAAATAGAAATGTTTTATTTTTTTTATAGTACACAGTTCATATCCTTTCAAAAACATTTGAAATCACCTATACAATTATCTGGATTTGTTGTCTTTATGGAACTTATGAATTCCTTTGGGATGTTTTGTTTCCTATTATTTATTCAATGTAAGTGTAAGTTCTTTATTCTTTCCAGTGGTTTCTATATTCTTCGTTTTGTCAATCCACAGCCTTTAGAAATTTTATACAATTAGTTATGTCACAGACCTACTACATGTGTCTATAATTATTATTGAGTCAGATTACAGTCTACCAATTACCTCTTAAAAGTTTTCTTAGTTGCAAAACTGGTGCTTTGTAAAGGATACCTTCTGTCCATTATACAAATATTTTAGCCATATGAGTTAACATATGCTCAGCCTGATGCACAGTAAGTACTCAAATTATTACCTATCACTTTTTGTTACCTCTAATAGCAATGCACTGTTAAGTATTTTACATACAAAGATCTCATCTAATGCATGTCAATTTACAAGATACTTGCATTTTGTATATTGCCACAATAACCTTTTGGATCCCTATTTTGAGAATTAAACTGAATATCAAACTAGTTGCCATAGCAATAGTCCAGTTACGATCTTTTAAATTCTAAGCTTTTAGGATTGAGAGATGACTAGCACATACAAAAGACTGGAATAAAATAAAGCTGAGTGGTATGTAAGAACTAGGTAATAGGAAGCTTCATTATTATAATTACTGCAAAAAACACATGTGGTCTCTGTGATGTGTTAATTCTTTTCTGTAAAAAGATCAGCTGGAACCGGGTGCTAGTGGCTTACACCTATAATTCTAGCTACTCAGGAGGCTGAGATGTGAATCATGGTTCAAAACCAGCCTGTGCAGGAAAACTGTGAGACTCTTATCTCCAATTAACCACAATATTCCAGAAGTGAAACTGTGGTTCAAATAATAGAGTGCTAGCCTTGAGCAAAAGAGCTCAGGGACAGCGCTCAGGTTCCAAGTTCAAGCCTCAGTACTGGCACAATTAAAACAAAATGCTCAGCTTGGATGCCTTGTGGGAAATGGAATATTAATGGTACCAAAAACAGACAAAGGAAGAATGGCTAGAAAGCTACAGCCGTGGTTTGGGTGAGATGAAACAAGACTAAGGTGACAACATGAAAAATCAGAAAAATTACATAATGCAGAAATATTAGAGACAGAATTATAGGACATGGTGATTGCCTGGATTGGGTCTAGAGAACACCACTCCTACGTGAATTCTCTGATGATGTGTAAGATGTGCATGCTGCCTGAAGCTCTTCTTGCATTCCTTACATTCATAGGGTCTCTCCCCAGTGTGTATCCTCTGATGCTGGGAGAGAGAGCCACAGTAACTGAAAGCCTTCCCACACACGTTACATTCATAGGGTTTCTCTCCAGTATGAACTCTCTGGTGTTGAGTGAGGGATGAATCATTGCTAAAAGCCTTTCCGCATTTGATACATTCATAGGGTTTCTCTCCAGTATGAACTCTCTGATGCTGAGCGAGGTAGGCAATCTGGCTAAAGGCTTTCCTACATTGTTGACATTTGTAAGGTTTTTCTCCAGTGTGAATTCTCTGGTGCTGAGCAAGGTGTGAATTCTGGCTGAAGGCCTTCCCACACTCCTTACATTCATAGGGCCTCTCTCCCGTGTGTATTCTCTGATGTACAGTTAGGTATGCACGCAGGCTAAATGCTTTCCCACACACATTGCATTTATAAGGCTTCTCTCCTGTATGAACTCTGTGATGCTGGGCAATAGAGGACCTATTGCTGAATGCTTTCCCACATACAATACATTCATAGGGTTTCTCTCCAGTGTGAACTCGCTGATGCTGGGCAAGGTAAGCAAACTGGCCAAAGGCTTTCCTACATACCTTACATTCATAAGGCTTTTCTCCAGTGTGAACTCTCAGATGTTGAAGGAGATGTGCATTCTGACTAAAGGCTTTATTACACTCTTTACATTCATAGGGTCTCTCTCCAGTATGAATTCTGTGGTGTTGGACAAGGTTGGATCTCTGGCTGAAGGCTTTCCCACATTCTGCACATTCATAGGGTTTCTCCCCAGTATGGATTCTTTGATGGAGCGTGAGGGATGAGCTCTGGGTGAAGACTTTTTCACAATCATTGCATTTCAAAACTTTCTTCCCTGCAAAGACACTTTTGGGCTTAATAGCCATGAAAGCCTTTTTAAAGGTATTCTTATGAGTGTCCTGGTTATATACTTTCTCCTGTTTGGGAATTATCTGTTGTATGGGAAGCAGGGAGTTCTGATGGAAACTTCCCCAAAATTTGTCATACTCTTGTTTGTTAAGAAGGGCTTCTTCGTAAGTGACTGTTTCTTTTTTATAACTTGTCTTCTCATTTCCTGGTTGTCTCTCCAAATTGCCCTCACATTTGCACTCTTCTTTTAAGCTGGAGTAGTCAAGGCCAATGTCTGCCAATTCTCCTGTTATCTTCTGACATGGCTGTGCTTGACAAAGCTCCTGTTTAGGGGCAAATTCTTCAGGCTCACCCATAGATTTCCAGCCTGAAAAGTGAAAATAAGAGACATGTGGGGGCTGGGAAGGTGGCTCAGTGGTAAAGTGCTTGCCTTGCATGCATGAGGCCCTGGGTTCAATTCCTCACCACCACATAAGCAGAAAAAGCTGGGAGTGGCACTGTGGCTCAAGTGGTAGAACGCTAACTTTGAGCTGAAGAGCTAAGGGACAGCGCCCAGGCCCAGAGTTCAGGCCCCACAACCGAAAAAAAAAAAAAAAAAGTAGGGTGGGACTGTGGCTTAGTAGTAGAATGCTTGTTTAGCATGCATGAAATGTTGGGTTGGATTCCTTGGTACCACATATACAGAAAAAACTGGAAGTAGCACTGTGGCTCAATGGTAGAGTGATAGCCTTGACTATAGAGAGGCTTAGGGACAGTGCCCAGACCCTGAGTTCAAGCCTCAGGACTGGCAAAAAAAATGTCTCCTTTATTGTTTATGATAAAGTATATTCATAAATGTATTTGTATAAAGTACATATTTGTAATAGCAAATAAAACCCTAAAGGCCTCTTACGATAACAAAAGCCAGCATGGCACTGGTGACTCACACCTGTAATCCTACTCAGAAGGCTGAGATCTGAGGATTGCAGTTCAAAGCCAGCCCTGGCAGGAATCTCTGTGAGACTCTTATCTCCAATAAACCACTCAGAAAACTGGAAGTGGCGCTGTGGCTCAAGTGGTAGAGCACTCACCTTGAGCTGAAGAGCTGAGAGATAGCACCCAGGTCCAGAGTTCAAGCCCCACGACCGACCCAAAAAAAAAAAGGTAACAAAAGCCTTGCATTTCTAGTTCTAAAATGTTATTGTGTAGTAGACACATTCATTTGTACACAGTTCATCATGCTATATGATCATAATAATGTAAATATAGGGCTGGGAAGATGGCTCAGTGGTAGAGCGCTTGCCTTGCATGCATGAGGCCCTGGGTTCGATTCCTCAGCACCACATAAGCAAAAAGAAAAAAGCCGGAAGTGGCGCTGTGGCTCAAGTGGTAGAGCACTAGCCTTGAGCTGAAGAGCTGAGGGACAGCGCCCAGGCCCAGAGTTCAGACCCACGACTGGACCCAAAAAAAATAATAATGTGTGTGTGTGTATATATATATATATATATATATATATATATATATATATATATATGTATATGTATGTATGTATATATATATAAATACACATATTTGCCCCTCTTTTAAAGAATTTTCTTTTACTTTTAAAAATGGTATTTTCCGGGCTGGGAAGGTGGCTCAGTGGTAGAGCACTTGCCTTGCATGCCTGAGGCCCTGGGTTCCATTCCTCAGCACCACATAAGCAAAAAGAAAAAAGCCAGAAGTGGCGCTGTGGCTCAAGTGATAGAGTACTAGCCTTGAGCTGAAGAGCTGAGGGACAGCGCCCAGGCCCAGAATTCAGGTTCCACGACTGGACCCAAAAAAACAAAAAACAAAAATGATATTTTCCTCTGGATGTGGGGCTTGAACTCAGGGCCTGGGACCTGTCCTTGAGCTTTTTTGCTTAAGGTCAGTGCTCTACCTACTTTGAACCACACACCTCCACATCTGGTTTTTAGTTAGGGAACTGGAAATAAGAGTGCCTGTACTGGTTTTGAACCAAAATCCTCAGATCTCAGCCTCTTGAGTAGCTAGGATTATCGGCATGAGCCACCAGAGTGTAGCTTAATTTAAAAACAGAATCATCTGCTCAACCCAGAAGAAGCTGGTCATAAGAAGTTACTTGGAAAAGACATAAAATGAAAGTAATACAGGGAAAAGAAACACATATACCCTCACAAAGCACATACAAATACTCATATATATATATTTCTTAGGTTTGCTACATGTAATTCACCCTATAATTGAATATCTAATATGTAGGCAGAATATTTGTTTTGGAAAGAGAGGAAAGTAGTTGGTATTTTGTACAGGGAAGAAAGTAGATAGTATGCTGATTCATATGGAAGCAGTCATTAAGAAGAGTTTCCTGATATCACAGGTCGGCTTCCCCCCTCCCCTCCTCAGTTTTTACTTACTTGAACACAGCCCTCTGGTCACCTCTCTGTCAACTATCCAGGGTTCTTTTCCTTGTTCTAATAAAGATATCACCGCTGGCTTTGAATTGGAAAGTCCTGCTCAAACGAAAAGACATAAGACATGGCTATCTGATTAGTGTTCCAGAAATCAGATCCAATCCCTTGGTGATCAAGGAGGAGATGCCAGTAACAGGGGTACAGGGGTGTGGGTGGGATTTTTTTTTTCCTGCCAAGGGCCATTAGGATTTTATAACACCATTCAATGGACACACAAAATTATTGATAGAGGGGCTGGGAAGGTAGCTCAGCGGTAGAGTGCATGCCTTGCAAGCATGAGGCCCTGGGTTCGATTCCTCAGCACCACATAAATAGAAAAAACCAGAAGTGGTGCTGTGGCTCCAGTGGTAGAGCGCTAGCCTTGAGCTGAAGAGCTGAGGGCAGCTCCCAGGCTGAGTTCAGGCCCCATGATTGGCAAAAAAAAAATTGATAGAGGCAGACAGCTATGAGCTGCTTACAAAAAGTTGAGAAATTTTTGTGGACTTTTCCTTAAAATTATAATATACTAGAACTTTCTAGGAACCAATTGATGAATGAGAATTTTTTTCAGTTTACATTGCTTCTCTGTTCAAGTTATAATTCTATATATCAGGGGGAGTGGAACGTGGGAAAAATGCTTTTTGGAAAAATATTTGACAACATCTGCCACATTTTATAGTTGTCAGTTATAATAAACTTATTTTTAAGCTATCTTAAAAATTATTTTTGAGCCAGGTGCTGGAGGCTCACGCCTGTAATCCTAGCTACTCAGGAGGCTGAGATCTGAGGATCATGGTTCAAAGCCAGCCTGGGCAGGAAAGTCCGTGAGACTCTCATCTCCAATAAAGCACCAGAAAACCTGAAACCGGCTCTGTGGCTCAAGTGGTACAGTGCTAGCCTTGAGCTGAAGAACTCAATGATGGCACCCAGGCTCAGATTTGAGCCCCATGACCGACAAAAAAAAATTGTTTTTTGAGAATCATGTGTTTATCTATCCTGCTATGTACGAATGATGTGGGCCTTCTATGGCCTGGAGGTTATCCACCCTGCATATGAAAGACTAGAGAAAGATAAAAATTCAGTGCTTTCCATAGTTCTAACTCTTTCCATGCCATTGCAACTCAAACCATTCCTTAGTGGAAACGAAGGGCTGAAATTCAACTGGTTACTTGAAGCAAATGATTCTCAATAAAGAAAGAAGACACTCCCATGGCAGAGTGTAAATTAGAGGATGGGTGGGGGGGTTAGTTATTCTTACCCACTGAAACCAGGTTGCTGAAATTCTCCAACATCACTTCTTTGTACAAATTCACTTGACCAGTGTCCAGGAATTCCCATTCCTCATGAGAGAAGTCTATAGACACATCTGTGAATGTCACAGATCCCTGAAACAATAAAGATGCTTTTGCAATGGAAGGGGAAAAGATGGTAGGAAAAGAGATAGTAGTAGAAGGGTCTCCTGGAAAAGACAAAGCAAGCAAACAGAGTTTGCCACATTACCACAGCAGTAAAATGTATCATTCTTGTATATCAAAGGATAAGTCCAAGAATGGACAGTACATGGGAATTGTCCAATGATAGGAAATAGGAAGCATTAAGCTCAGTGAATGGGTTTCTTCTCCTCTCTTAGTTTATCTTTCAGCCCCAATGAGTGAAACTGTGATGGATTTTTCTTTAAAACATCAGGCTCTAAGAAGGGACTCTGCCATGCATTGTTGTTTTACTCTTATGACAGGCAATGGTGGCTAAGTTGGTTTTTCAGTCAAGATAAAAAGAGATGGTCCTGCCAGGTGCTGGTGGCCCATGCCCGTGATCCTAGCTACTTTGAAGGATGAGATCTGAGGATCATGGTTCAAATCAGCCTGGGCAGAAAAGTCTGGGCAACTCTTATTTCCAAAGAACCACCAAACAGGCAAAGTAGAGCTATGGTGTAAGTGGTAGAGTGCTAGCCTTGATGAAGTTCAGGGGGAGAGGTGAGATCCTAAGTTCAAGCCCCAGGACTGGTACCATAATATAAAAAAATCATACAATATAAAAGCTGAAGAATGTTAAGGGAAAACAATACTTTCCCAAAGCTTCCAGGAACAAAATGTAGATCATGTAAAAAAAAAATTCAAGAGTCAGAATGATAAACTTCTCAATAGCACCATTTGAAACCAAAAGAAAACAAAGCAATTCTTTTTCTATTATTGTAAAGGAAAATGATAGGGGAAGTGTGGTTCAAGTGGTAGATTGGCAGCCTTGAGCAAAAAACCAAGCAAGAGTACAAAGTCCTGAATTCTAGTCCCAGTACTGCCACAGACACACAAAGTATGCAGTATATCACAGGCAGGTACTGGTGGCTTATATTAGGAATCCTAGCTAATCAGGGGCCTGAGATCTAAGGATCAAGGTTTTTTGTTTTTGTCAGTCCTGGGGTTTGAACTCAGGGCCTGGGCTTCTTTTGCTCAAGGCTAGCACTCTACCACTTGAGCCATAGCACCACTTTGGGCTTTTTCTGTTTATGTGGTACTGAGGAATTGAACCCAGGGCTTCATGCATGGTAGGCAAGTACTCTACCACTGAGCCACATTCCCAGCCCAGGATCAAGGTTTGAAGCCAGACAGGTCAGTCCATTAGATCTTCTCTCCAATTAATTGTTAAAAAGCCCAAAACGGAAGTGTGGCTCAAGTTGTAGAGTACCATCCTTGAGCTAAAAATCTGAAGGACAGTGCTCAGGCTGAGTTTAAGTGCTATTACTGGTACAAAAAAATAATATTTTTTTTTTTTTTTTTTTTTTTGTCAGTCGTGGGGCTTGAACTCTGGGCCTGAGTGCTGTCCCTCAGCTCTTCAGCTCAAGGCGAGCGCTCTACCACTTGAGCTACAGCGCCACTTCCGGTTTTCTGGTGGTTTATTGGAGATAGGAGTCTCACGGTCTCTCCTGCCTGGGCTGGCTTTGAACCTCGATCCTCAGATCTCAGCCTCCTGAGTAGCTAGGATTACAGGCGTGAGCCACCAGCGCCCGGCAATATTTCTTATGATTATAAATTAATGTTTGAAGTGATTACTGGGATTTGAACTCAGGGCTTTGTACTTGCTAGCCAGGTGCTCTAGGTCTGTTTTAAGCTACTTTGATATATAGCCTTGTTTCCTGCTCAGGCAATCCTCATATTTTTCAATTCCCACTGTAGCCAGAGTGACAGATATATACCACCAAGCCCAGATTCTTCCATTTAGATGGATGGAGTCTCACACACTTTCCTGCCCAGGCTGGCCTAGAACTGTGATCCTCCTGATTTCAGCCTCCCACGTGGAATCAATGTTCCCACCTATTACTTGAGAAGGAGTTTCACGATGTTTCATGCCTGAGCTGGCATCCAACTGCAATCCTTCCAATCTCTGCCTCCTGCATAGGTAGGGATAGCAGTGTGAGACATCAAAACCCAGCTTTCAACATAAATTCTTTAACTTTATAAATTCACGGTGGCAGAAATTTCATACTGTTAATAAACTTTTCAATTTCAGACATTTTACTAAAGTCTTTATGACCCTTTCCTAAGGAAAAGCATACCACTTTTCTTAAGTATTTTCCACTCTTTTGTGCTAGTTATTTATTTATTTTTTTTGGGTCCAGTCGTGGGGCCTGAACTCTGGGCCTGGGCGCTGTCCCTCAGCTCTTCAGCTCAAGGCTAGCGCTCTACCACTTGAGCCACAGCGCCACTTCCAGCTTTTTAATTTTTTTCTGCTTATGTGGTGCTAAGGAATCGAACCCAGGGCCTCATGCATACAAGGCAAGTGCTCTACCACTGAGCCAACTTCCCAGCCCTAGTTATTTTTATAATAGAGATGTAATCACAAATTCTGCATTACTTAGCATCAGGGATCCATCTATATCTATATCTATATCTATCTGCATTGTTTTTGTGAATTACTTAATCTGAAGCAGGATCTGGGAATCCCGCCATTTGTATCTGGCAGGAAGAACTGCATTGTTTTGGGGAATGGAAACTTTTGCTATCATCTGAATCCAGGGTACTCTTGTGGGATGGAGGCCTTTAACCACGAAAGTACTGGAGTTGAATTAAGAGAGGAGTCAGCTGATGTCCAAATGAATTGGTGGTTGCTGGTTAATGGAAACATACTCTCATGCTACAGGAAAGATTTGTGGTTGCAGCTCACAACTGTAATTCCAGTTACTCAGGAGGCTGAGATCTGAGAATCACAGGTTCAAAGCCAGCCCAGGCAGGAAAGTTCATGAGACTCTTATCTCCAATTAACCACCAGAAAACCAGAAGTTGCACTGTGGCTCAAGTGGTAGAGCGCTAGCCTTGAGCTGAAGAGCTGAGGGACAGTGCCCAGGCCCAGAATTCAGGCCCCACAACTGACAAAAAAATAAAATTAAAAACTGCCTATAAGTAGTAAGTAGATAAACACTTGCACATACTATGCTAAAATTACAGAAAATGTAAAACAAGTAGTACTTAAACCACGGAAAAAGACAAATAACATTGTGAAGGGGTAATCAACATTGACACAAGGAGATCAATAGGATGAGTTAACAAGATTATATATTCACATATGGAAAAATATATTACATATGGACAGTGGTTAGTCTTTTTTTTTTTTTTTTTGGGTCCGGACGTGGGGCCTGAACTCTGGGCCTGGGCGCTGTCCCTCAGCTCTTCAGCTCAAGGCGAGCGCTCTACCACTTGAGTTATAGCGCCACTTCTGGCCTTTTCTGCTTATATGGTGCTGAGGAATCAAACCCGGTGCCTCCTGAATGCAAGGCAAACATTCTACTACTGAGCCACTTTCTCTGGATTAAATATCTTTTTCTTATATTTTTTTTTAGTATTTTGTTTCTTTCTTTCTTTTTTTTTTTTGCCAGTCATGGTGCCTGAACTCTGGGCGTGGGCACTGTCCCTCAGCTCTTCAGCTCAAGGCTAGTGCTCTACCACTTGAGCCACAGCACCACTTCCAGCTTTTTCTGCTTATGTGGTGCTGAGGAATCGAACTCAGGGCCTCATGCATGCAAGGCAAGCACTCTACCACTGAGCCACCTTCCCAGCCCCTGGATTAAATATCTTAATAGAAAAGTGAAACAGCTTTTAGCATTAGTGGAGGCAAATATTTGCATGATCTTAGGACTAAGGACTTCTTAACATTCGAAAAGAACTAATCATAAAGGAAAAAAAGAGGGCTGGGAATGTGGCTCAGTGGTAGAGTGCTTGCCTGGCATGCATAAAGCCTTGGGTTCAATTCCTCAGTACCACATAAACAGAAAAAGCAAGAAGTGGTGCTGTGGCTCAAGTGGTAGAGTGCTAACCTTGAGCAAAAGAAGCTCAGGGACAGTGTCCAGTACCTGAGTTTAATCCCCAGGACTAGCACACACACACACACACACACACACACACACACACACACACACACACACACACACACACACACACACACACACACACACACACACACACACACACACACACACACACACACAATAATGTGTGTGGCCAGGCATTGGTTGGCTCATGTCTGTAATCCTAGCTACTCAGAAGGCTAAGATTTGAGAATATGGGTTCAAAGCCAGCCTCATATGTTTGTACTTTATCTGACAAAAAGTACAAACTGCAACGCTTTCATATATTTACCAATACCATTTACAATGTGAGAAAATATGACATTTTAGTGTTATAAAAATGTCAAATGCATAATTTGACATTTGCAAAATAATGTCAAAATTTATTTTTCATGGTAATTCTGTTTTTGAAATCACTGAAAATAATCATGCTTTTATTTTAATGTCTGTTGTGGGACTTGAACTCAGGGCCTGGATGCTGTCCCTGAAACCTTTTGTGCTCAAGGCTAGCTAGCACTCTACCACTCTGGGCCCAGAGCCAACTTCTGATTTTTGAGTGGTTAATTGGAGATGAGTCCCATGGGGACTTTTCTGCCCTGGACTGTCCTTGAACTGCAATCCTGAGATCTCAGCCTTCTGAGTAGCTAGGATTATATGTAGGCCTGAGCCACCAGCACTCAGCTCATACTTTTTTTTTTTTTTTTTTTTGTAGGTCGTGGGCTTGAACTCTGGGCCTGGGTGCTGTCCCTCAGCTCTTCAGCTCAAGGTGAGCGCTCTACCACTTGAGCTACAGCGCCACTTCCGGTTTTCTGGTGGTTTATTGGAGATAGGAGTCTCACGGTCTCTCCTGCCTGGGCTGGCTTTGAACCTCGATCCTCAGATCTCAGCCTCCTGAGTAGCTAGGATTACAGGCGTGAGCCACCAGCGTCCGGCTTCAGCTCATACTTTTTTTTTTTTTTGGGTCCGGTCGTGGGCCTGAACTCTGGGCCTGGGCGCTGTCCCTCAGCTCTTCAGCTCAAGGTTAGTGCTCTACCACTTGAGCCACAGCGCCTTCCGGCTTTTTTTTTTTTTCTTTTTTCTTATGTGGTGCTGAGGAATCGAACCCAGGGCCTCAGGCATGCAAGGCAAGCACTCTACCCCTGAGCCACCTTCCCAGCCCCAAAGTCAAATATTTTTGTAAATACATCTTCCTAAAAAAATAAGTGGTAGAAATCTGCTGTTTTCATAACTCAATGTTGTTCCCCAGGCAAGGCCCACTGACCACCACCTGTCCCCTCACCCCAGACTTTCCTGTATTTCTCCAGCCTATTCTCCTGCCAGAAAGCTTAATTTAAATGGGAAAGGCCTTCTTCTCCCCTCCCCTCTATTATGCCACACCTCATGTCTCCTGACTCTCTTCTGGTCACCATGGCGGCGGCAGTCTTCAACTTTCCATTGATCTGGTTTGTTTAGGTCACTTTGTACACCCTTTTTAAAATCTAATACCCTCATGACTCAGTTTCCTAATAAAAACATACTAATTTTCATTCAGCAAGCAGAAGTGAACGCCTTTTTCTTTATTCAAATGTAAGTGATTTCATCTATGAAGGATATTAGGCTTTAATACCAGGCACAGCTATGGTTGTCTCCAAAGGGGAGCTTATAGGAACCTACATTCTAGTGATATATCATTAAGCAAGTATTTTCAAATGATTGCAAGCAGAAAGGAAATCCCACCACACCTTGGATATTACTTGTAGAAGTTCAGCACGCATTTTTTTTCTCCTCTTCTGGGCGACTCACCTGAAGCAACTGGAAGAAGCAAAATAATTATGAGGCCAGGCTTTTTCTTTTTTTTCCGATCCAAGGAAATCATTACCAGCCCCATCCTCATTTTGTACCACAATGGCAGTGGAGAGGCAGGAAGAATGGGGGCATCCTGTCCAATTTCAGGGTCTCTAGGACAAGGCAGTCCAGGTCAAGAATCTGGCCGAACCTCAGAGAGGTCACTTGGGGACACAGTTTTGAGGTCTCACAGCCACAGAGGTGACAAGGAGCCCTATGCTGACCTCTCTAGACATATCTACATGGTGTCACATACACTCAGACACGACCGCACAATGACCGGACCTCCCCAGTCACAATCCATAAACTCCAATCTTGTAAGACATCCTATCGCACATTCACCCCAAGAGTCCCAGCTCCCCACAGGCCACCGATGTCCTCACCTGAGGCCCTTGCGGTCTTGCCTGGTGGTAACCTGCAGATCTAAAGCAGATTCTCTGGAGACTAAGGTCTCGCATCCCTCCGAACTAACATTGGAGTTCCGGCGAGAAGAGCAACAGGGCCCATTGGCCTTCTGGGAAATGTAGTCCAATAGCGTTTCACCCGGACGCCCCGCAGACGCGGCCTCTAGGCAACTCTCTCAAAGTCCAGAGTCGGCTCAGAATACTGCGTCACAATAGCGCGACGCGCAGAGGAGTGTCCATCACACTCATGGCCCCGCCCCCTCCTGCCCCGCCGGAAATATGCGTGCTGGCCGGAAGTAGCGTCTGGCCGTGGCGTCTTTTGGGAGCTGTGGTGTCCTGGGAGGCCGCCGGTGAAGTCATCGCGAGCCGGCGGCGGGAAGCGGAGGCGGTCCGGAGCGAGCCGGTCGGTGCTGGCCGCGGGCGGCCGGCGGGGCGGAGCCGCCCTGGTCCCGCAGCGCCGGGGGTCGGCGGTGGAGGCCGCGCGCGGTGCCTGCAGCGCTGCGGGTGAGTGGCCGCCATTATTGGGACGGGAGCCCGTGGCGGGGCTCGTGTGCGTGCGGCTGGCTTTGCGGGTGGCTTTTGGCGGGGGTGCGGTTTTGTGGCGGCGGTGGTTGTGTATTTGGGGGGCATTGGTGATGTTCGTGGCCGCGTCTGCGCGTTCGGGATGTGCAGGGTTTCTCGTGTGACTTGGGTAGCTACTTTTTTAAATTCTGTTTTTTGTTTTTGCCGGTCCTGGGCCTTGCACTCGGGACCTGGGCTCTGCCCCTGAGTCTGTCTCTATTCTCAAGACAAGAGCTCTACCGCTTGAGCCACAGCGCCACTTCCAGATTTTTCTGCTTATGGGGTGCTGAGGAATCGACCCCAGGGTTTCATGCCTGCGAGGCAAGCGCTCTACCACCGCGCCACCTGCCCAGCTCCTCTATTTGGTTTCCAGTGGTTCCCCACACATTTCATAGTAACCTTACTCTCTCTGTAGGCCCTTGCCTCACTGTACCTGGGACTGTTCTCCAGCGTTCCAGTTTTCTTCTTCTAGTGTATAAGTAGCTTTAAAAAAAAAATGGTGTTGGGGAAGTGGTGCTGAGTGCTAGCCTTGAGCTGAAGAGCTCAGGGACAGCGCCCAGGCCCAGAGTTCAAGCCCCACTACCGACAAAAAAAGTTAAAAAGGTGGTGTTGGGATCTAGCGCAAGGCCTTTTGCATTCTAGACAAGCACACTTAGCTATTATATTTATAGCCCTGAATTAGCTTTCATAATGCCTATATTCCACCTGTACATTCAGTAGCACAGAGCACATTTACTTAGAATTTATTACTTTCACGTTGTTTGCAGCTTCTCTCCAACAATATTCAGCTGTTCAGCCGATGATTTATATTGTATTTGGTTAAGTGGCTGAGCTGTAGGGGCAAGGAGTTCAGATCTGCCTTCCATTTTTCCTGTCAGGATCTCTAGTTTAAAAATGACTGGTTTACAAGGAATTTTTCCTTTTCATTTTTTTTTTTTTTTTTTTTTTTGTTGGTCCTGGGGCTTGAACTGTGGGCCTGGGCGCTGTCCCTCAGCTCTTCAGCTCAAGGCGAGCGCTCTACCACTTGAACTACAGCGCCACTTCCGGTTTTCTGGTGGTTTATTGGAGACAGGAGTCTCAGAGTCTTTCCTGCCCGGGCTGGCTTTGAACTGCGATCCTCAGGGGGCTGGGAAGGTGGCTCAGTGGTAGAGCACTTGCCTTGCATGCCTGAGGCCTTGGGTTCGATTCCTCAGCACCACATAAGCAAAAAGAAAAAAGCCAGGAGTGGTGCTGTGGCTCAAGTGGTAGAGCGCTAGCCTTGAGCTGAAAAGCTGAGGGACAGCGCCCAGGCCCAGAGTTCAGGCCCCACGACTGGACCAAAAAAAAAAAAAAAATGAACTGCGATCCTCAGATCTCAGCCTCCTGAGTAGCTAGGATTACAGGCGTGAGCCACCAGCGCCCGGCCCCTTTTCATTTCTTAACTTGAGAGGTTATGCAAATACCTTTAAAACCTCTGCCTCCAAATATACTAAGATTTTTTTAGCCAAAGAACATTTTTTTATCCCTACAGTGGCAGGGCAAGGCAAAACTTCCTAGAAATACTGTAATTCTGGTAGAGGTGAGAAAGCACCAAGATTCCAATCTACCGCTTAGGAAACATGTATTTGTTGTTTCTAGGGGGGGTTCTTTTGGTGCGAGTATTAGCTCAAATTTAGGATCTCCTGTACTTGCTCATTTTAATTGCTTACGGCTGTCACTGTACCATAGCCACACCTGCCGCCAATCGTACTGGTTAATTGGAGTCTTACAGAAAGACTTACTTGCAGCCACTAAACTTCTAAGCAGCTGGGATTTCACATGGTGAGCCACCAGGCTCCACTAATAAAAAACAAACCCAAAACAGGCTTTTTGTCCGATGTTTGAGGATGGAAATCACTGTTAGAGCAGCTAACCTAGTATACTTAAGACCTTGGGTTTGATCTTCAACACCATAAAAATAAATCAAGAATATTGGAAACATGCTTCTTAGTTCAGGGAAATACCTTGTAATACAAGTTCTGTCTGATACTGCTGTTCAGGATTTGTCAGAATATTTGTCAGAAAAGTGATTTTTCCAACCCTGTGGGTTTTCTCCTTTTTCTTTTCTTTTCTTTTTTTTTGGTGTTTCAGGTCTTGATGGTATTTGTTTCAGGTTGATTTCCTTCCTTTCTTCCTATTACTTGTGCCAGTTTTGGGGCTTGAACTCTAGGCCTGAGCACTATCCCTGTGCTCTTCAGCTCAAGGTGAATGCTCTGCCACTTCCGCCATGGCTCCACTTAGGATTTTCTGGTGGTTAATTGGAGATAAGATAATTGGGGGCTGGGAAGGTGGCACAGTGGTAGCGCTTGTCTTGCATGCATGAGGCCCTGGGTTTGATTCCTCAACACCACATAAGCAAAAAAAAATTTGGAAGTGGCGTAATGGCTTGAGCTGAAGAGCTGAGGGACAGCACCCAGGCCCAGAGTTCAGGCCCCATGACCAACCCAAAAAAAAAGAGTCTCACGGGCGAGGCACCCATTGCTCAAACCTGTAATCCTAGCTACTTAGAAGGCTGAGATCTGAGGATCACGGTTCAGAGCCAGCCCAGGCAAGAAAGTCTGAGGGACACTTATCTCCAATAAACCACTAGGAAACCGGAAGTGGCACTTTGGCTCAAGTGGTAGAGTGCTCGCCTTAAGCTGAAGAGCTGAGGGACAGTGCCCAGGCCCAGAGTTCAAGCCCCACAGTTCTCAAACACGCACAGGCGCACAGACACACAAGTCTCACGGACTTTGCTGCCTGGGCTGGCTTTGAACTGCTAATCCTCAGATCTCATCCTTCCGAGTAGCTAGGATTACAGGCATGAGCCACTGGCGCCCAGCTGGCTTCAACAATTTTAAACATTAGTTACCTCACAAATGCTGTGGAGTGTGACTGTGCCAGTTATTCTGGCTCCAGAAGTTCACAGATTGATTAGGGCAGCTGTTTTCAGAAGACTGGACTGGGGCTGAAGCTTTGCTTTCAAATAGCTGACTAGTATTAATTGCTGACAACATCTTCTCACTAGGGTTGATGGAGGGTCTGCATGGTGTGACAGGCAGGTGGCTTCGCTCACAGTGCAAGCTCCAAAGTATGTAGGATAGAAGACCTAATTCTGGAAGCCACATACCATCACTTTTACAAAGTGTCCTGTTTATTGAGATCAATTCTTTTTATTGTGAGAGCAAGGAATATTTTTTCTACAAAAAGTATGAATACTAGAACGTTGATCATCAGGGGTTATCGTGGAGGTTGATTACCGCAGGGATTCAGTGAAAGGCATCAGGTAAATTAGATTTCCTTGCTAAGCCCACAGGTCCTGCTTCCAGGCACATCTGTGGTATGAGTAGAGAGAAGCTTGAGGAACAGAAGTATCTGTTATGGAATTGCTGGACCTGCAGACTTATCTTGACTATTCTACCCAGAACAGGCATAATCTGAATGACAGAGCTACGCTTAGATTATCGGTAACTGAGACAATGGACTGTTTGACCCAGATGATGCAAAAGAGAGGTGAGTTGACTGTGAGGTGGGTAGAATATAGGTTCTCAAGGGGTCTGTGTTCAGGATATGTAAAAATAAGTAGGAAATTTAATACACGTATAAAAAGCATACATGACACGTGCTGGTAGCTCATGCCTGTAGTCCTACATACTCAGGAGGCTGAAATGTGAGGATCAGGGTTCAAAGCCAGCAGGAAAGTCTGTGAGACTCTTGAAGGGTTAACTCCATTTTTGAGGCAGTGACCATTTGTTGCTTATTTAAACTGAAAGGTTAAACCTAAGATAAGCAAATCCTGTGAGCAAACATAGACCACCAATTATCTCAGCTAGCAGAGCAACATGTGGTGGTAATCCAAACACCTGGTTGTTTGCCTTTATAAGCCCTGTAAATCTCTAGCTCGGGCCTCTCCTCCTAGGCTCCACACGAGGCCCGAGCTGCAGCCCCTCTAAATAAAACCTTGTTTTTGCATTTTAGAACATCTGACTCTCGGTGATCTTCTTGGTGGGGTCCTGAGACTTGGGCACTGCATTTTTTGTGGGTTTTTTTTTTTTGTCAGTCGTGGGGCTTGAACTCTGGACTTGGGCACTGTCCCTGCACTTTTTAGCTCAAGGCGAGCGCTCTACTACTTGAACCACAGCACCACTTCCGGTTTTTGAGTGGTTTATTGGAGATAAGAGTCTCACGGACTTTCCTGCCTGGGCTAGCTTTGAACCGAGATCTCAGGTCTCAGGCTCTTGAGCAGCTAGGATTACAGGCGTGAGCCATGGGCACCCGGCTTCACTATTTTTTTTTTAAATGAACTTTGTTTTTTGTCAATTACGGGGCTTGAACTCAGGACCTGTGTGCTATCCCTGAGCTGCTTTGAGCTCAACCTAGCGCTCTACCACTGGAGCCACAGTACCACTTCCAGGTTTTAGTGGTTAATTGGAGATAAGAGTTTCATGGGAAGCCGGGCGCTGGTGGCTCACACCTGTAATCCTAGCTACTCAGGAGGCTGAGATCTGAGGATCTCGGTTCAAAGCCAGCCCGGGCAGGAAAGACCGTGAGACTCCTATCTCCAATAAACCACCAGAAAACCGGAAATGGCGCTGTAGCTCAAATGGTAGAGCACTCGCCTTCAACTGAAGAGCTGAGGGACAGCGCCCAGGCCCAGAGTTCAAGCCCCAGCCTGACCAAAAAAACAAAAAAGAGTTTCATGGGAACTTTCCTGCCCAGGCCGACTTTGAATCGTGATCCTCAGACCTCTTGAGTAGCTAGGATTACAGGCGTGAGCCACCACCACCCAGCTTTAATGAACTTTTAAAATGCAATTTCTCCTTTTCTTAAAGGATACTTTTTCAGGCCAGGGGTATAGTGTGGTCTTAGACTAGGACTCAAACTTGATCCCTAATGCTTTCACTCATTGACTAGTGTTGGGTTTTTTTTGTTGTTGTTGTTGGTCTTGGGGCTTGAACTCTAGGCCTGGGCACTGTCCCTCAGCTCTTCAGCTCAAGGCTAGTGCTCTACCACTTGAGCTACAGTGCCACTTCCGGTTTTCTAGTGGTTTATTGGAGATAGGAGTCTCACAGTCTTTCCTGCCCAGGCTGGCTTTGAACCCAAATCCTATGATTTCAGCCTCCTGAATAGCTAGGATTACAGGCTTGAGTCACCAGCACCTGGCTTTATTGACTAGTGTTATACCAGCTGACCTATGCCTCCAACTCCAAGGGTTCTTTAAAAAAAAAAATCTTTGTGGTATTGGGAATTGAACCTCTTGATTTGTACATACTAGGCAAGTGCTCTACCACTTTTCTTCAGCTGGACTTGGACTCCAGATCTTCCTGTCTCTGCCTCCCAACCTGTCCCTACCTCCACAGTTGCTGGTATTATCAGCATGTGCTAAATACCTTTCTTTAAAAATGCTGTTATATAGCCATAAAGAGTTTCACTGTTTCATCTCTTCTCACCTGTTCCCAATCTCCAGAGGCATCCATTTTTAATATTTTCATCAAGGGTGTTTAATCACCATTCCTCCCTCCTTCCCTCCCTCCCTCCATCCCTCCATCCCTCCCTCCATCCCTTCCTTCCTTCGTTTTTTGCCAATCCCAGGCCTTAAACCTGGGCTTGAGTGCTGTTCCTAAGATCCTTTTGCTCAAGGCTAGCACTCTAACACATTAACTACAGTGCCACTTCTGTGATTAATTGGAGATGTTTCCTGAATCTTCCTACCTGGGCTGGATTAACCTTGGTCCTCAAATATTAGCCTCTTGAATCACTAAGATTACAGGTGTGAGCCACCAGTGCTTGGTAGCCATTCCCCACCCCCTTCTTTTTCTTTTGGTCAGTTGTGGGGCTTGAACTCTGGGCCTGGGCGCTGTCCCTCAGCTCTTCAGCTGGAGGCTAGTGCTCTACCACTTGAGCCACAGTGCCACTTCCAGTTTTCTTGTGGTTAATTGGAGATAAGAATCTCATGGACTCTCCTACCTGGTCTGGCTTTGAACTATGATTCTCAGATCTCAGCTTCCAGAGTAGCTAGGATTATAGACATGAGCCACTGGCACCTAACAGTGCTTAACATTTCTAATGGCCTTGAGGAACATTTGTCCATAAGGGCCTTTATAACCATGTGGTACTGAAGATTTCCATATTTCTTTTTCTGGAACTCTGAAGCAAATCTGTTTTGCCTTTCCTCAGGTTGGTGTCTACGGGACTCTGCAGACAAGGAAGAAGAGGATATGAACAGGTCTTTTGTACGTTTTAATCATTTATTTCCTGTGTTATACAATGCAGTAGTACTGTGTTGCTCTAAACTTACAGTATGCTGTTAAACAAAGTTCATGAATAGAAGTGAAAAAAATACAGGTTGAGAAATCAGAGCCAGAGGAAGAATGAGATATGACTATGAAGAAATAAGTAAATACAGAATTGTTCAGGTTATTCAGATTGAACAGTGAATATAATCTAGAAAATGATAGCAAACTGGGGTACAAAGTTTGTTTCATAGTTTACACTTCTTATCAGAGGAAAAAAAATATCTTAAAATTGTGTAAAGAAAAGAAAGCCTTTATATTGGCACATAAGCCAAAAGATTTTCTCAAGTAATGCCATGATTTTTATAATTCTAGTCAGTATTGGCCAACAATGAAAATGAAAATTATCTAGAAGACTATGACATGCATTTTTTAAATGATCTTTTTTTTGTGTATGTGTCGGTTGTGGGGCCTGAACTCTGGGCCCGGGTGCTCTCCCTCAGCCGTTCAGCTCAAGGCTAGTGCTCTACCACTTGAGTGCTACTTCCAGCTTTTTCTGTTTATGTGGTGCTGAGGAATTGAACCCAGGGCCTCATGCATGCAAGGCAAGCACTCTACCACTAAGCCACCTTCCCAGCCCTACATGATCTTATATATTTCTTCAGTTTCACATTTTGATACAAGTTGAACTAAGTTATACTAATGTAAATTAACTAGGCTTGTGTTTTCACAGAAAACAGTGGCATTTCAGCATGTGGCTGTGGACCTCTCTCAGGAAGAATGGCAGCAAATGAAACCTGCTCAGAGGAACTTGTACCGAGATGTGATGTTGGAGACATATAGGAACCTAGTCGCAGTGGGTAAGGGTAGCTTTGCAGTTAATACCATCCCCTTTTCTTTCCTGCCCTGTGTAAAGAGTTCAGCTTCCCTAGTTGTATACCATTGTACTGAGCTCATATCTTCAGGGTAGAAACTAATTGCCTTAGTTACAGTGGAAGTTCCTTTATCCCCATCTTTCACAAACTCTAAAGACACCAGGGTCTGTGTGGTTGTCCTCAGCATTTTCATCTAAGTTTTTTTTTTTTTTGGGGGGGGGGTGGTCAGATCATGGGGCCTGAACTCTTAAGTTCTTACGTTTGTAGTTGTGGAACTGGTTGAGAAGACTAGGGGCAGAGAGGGTGTTAGAGGGTGAACAGTGATAAAGTACATTGTCTCTGAGGGATTGAAACTTACCAAAAGCTGTTGAATAATAGGGGATAGTGGAGATGAGGAAAGTGAGAGCAAGCAGTTAAAATACTACATATGCCCATCAGCCGCACTGGACATTGATGGAACTGAACCAAGCCGAGCAATTCAAGGGTGGTGATGAGAGGTAGGGAATGAGAGAAGGAACAGCTGATAATAAGCAAAAGGAAAGAAATATACTTATCACCCGGTTATAAAAAAAATAGTTTTATTGTTAAAGGTCATAGAATTCATAAGCAATGTAGATTAAGATAACAATTATCATTGTAAAGATAAAATACTACATATATATTTATGAAATAACCACAGTGAAGTCTCTTAAAGCTAACATACACACAAGACAGACATGTAAACCATTCTTGTCAAAGGGATGAGTACTATTTGGAGTGAATGAGGACACAGGGAAAGAAGAGAGTTAATATGGTCAGAATACTTAACGTACCTGTATGGAAGAAATAGGACAGGGAAGCTTGTTGAAATTGAGTGGGTAGGTAGTATGATGGAGTGTGATAGAGGGGGTGAGTCAAATTAAGGAACATTGCATGCTATATGACCAGTCATAATGAAAACTCCTGTGCAACTAATTGATGCCACTTAAAAATAGGGAAGGATCAACATTCTTGTTCTTTGCTGTTTCCCATAATAGGTTGTCAAGTCACCAAACCAGATGTGATCTTCAAGCTGGAACAAGAAGAGGAACCATGGGTGATGGAGGAAGAAATGTTTTGGAGACTTTCTCCAGGTGAATACATGGAAAGCAGCCCTTAATGAGAAATCACGTGACATGTTCATTAGAGAGACAGAGCATATGAAAACCTTGGCATGTTGTGGCATTTCCAGGTATTACTTTTTTTTTTTTTTTTGGTCGGCTGTGGGGCTTGAACTCTGGGCCTGGGCGCTGTTCCTCAGCTCTTCAGCTCAAGGCGAGCGCTCTACCACTTGAGCCACAGCGCCACTTCCGGCTTTCTGGTGGTTTTATTGGAGATAGGAGTCTCATGGTCTCTCCTGCCCGGGCTGGCTTTGAACCGCGATCCTCAGATCTCAGCCTCCTGAGTAGCTAGGATTACAGGCGTGAGCCACCAGCGCCCGGCCCAGGTATTACTTTTGTGTTGGAGCTATATTCCTTTTTGTTTTTTTTTTTTTGGCCATTCTTAGGGCTTGAACTCAGGGCCTGAGCACTTTCCCTGGGCTTCCTTTAATCAGGGCTAGCTCTCTACCACTTGAACCACAGCACCACTTAAGGCTTTTTCTGTGTATGTGGTACTGAGATATTGAACCCAGGGCTTCTTGCATGCTAGGCAAGCACTCTACCACTATGCCACATTCCCAGCCCCCTTCTTGAAATATAAGAGGGCCAGTAATGGCATAGATTTCAGGATGCCAACCTTCCCTAATGTCCCTTCCCTAAATACCACTTAACGTTGAGAGTCATTGTCCCTCTTTGATCCCTTGCCTTGAGCTCTTACCTTTAAGGTCAGAGTTTAATTTTATTTGTTGTTTTTGTTTTTTTGACGGTTGAGGGGCTTGAACTCTGGGCCTGGGTGCTGTCCCTCAGCTCTTCAGCTTCAGGCAAGCACTCTTATCACATGAGGCACAGCACCACTTCTGGTTTTCTGTTGGCTAATTGGTGATAAGAGTCTTAGGGACTTTCCTGTGCAGGTTGGCTTTGAACCTTGATCCTCAGATCTCAACTTCCTGAGTAGCTATGATACAGGCATGAGCCACTGGCGCCTGGCCAAGAGTTTAATTTTCCTTTTTTGTTGGTCATGGGGCTTGAACTCTTGGCCTGGGCACTGTCCTTCAGCTCTTCAGCCCAAGCTAAGTGCTCTACCACTGGAGCCACTTCCGGTTTCCCATTGGATTATTGGAGATAAGAGTCTCAAGTCTCACTGGGGGGGAGGGCCCCCCCCCCCCCCCCCGCTGGGGGTTTAACCCAGCCGAAGGGCACCCTCCTGGTGTGTGCAAGGCCCTGGGTTCGGTCCTCAGCCCTGGGAAAAAAAGCTACAAAAGACCAAAAGAGTCTCACGGAAGGGCTGGGAAGGTGGCTCAGTGGTAGAGTGCTTGCCTTGCATGCATGAGGTCTTGGGTTCAATTCCTCAGCACCACATAAACAGAAAAAGCCAAAAGTGGAGCTGTGGTTCAAGTGGTAAGGTGCTAGCCTTGAGCTGAAGAGCTGAGGGACAGCACCCAGGCCCAGAGTTCAGGCTCCACAACCAACCAAAAAAAAGAGTCTCATAGAGTTTCCTTCCCTGGTTGGCTTTGAACCATGATCCTCAGATCTCAGCCTCCTGAGTAGCTAGGATTACAGGCATGAGCCACCGATGCCTGGCTTGAGTTTAATTTTCTTACACAAATATTTTTTTATAATGTGTAGTTGTTTTGTTTTTCTTTAATGTTTGTTTGGCAGTTAGAAGACTTTTTATTTGTTCTTTCCATTTTGAAAACCTCCAGAATTGTGTTTTATAGTGATGTCCTTTCAGAACTCTCATAAATCTCCTGGCTTAGATTTTTGTTTTTGTCTGTCCTAGGGCTTGAATTGAGGGCCTGGGCACTGTCGTTGAGCTTCTTTTGTTCAAAGCTAGCACTCTCCCACTTGAGCCACAGTACCATTCCGGCTTCTTCTGTTTATGTGGTGCTGAGGAATCAAACCCAGGACTTCCTGCATGCTAGACAAGCACTCTACCACTGGACCACATCCCAACCCCCAAGTCTTTTTTTTTTTTAATTTTTTATTATGAAAATACCGTACAGAGGAGTTACAATTACATGGGCAAAATAATGAGTACATTTCTTATCAAGCATTGTTGCTTCCTCCTTTGTTTCCCCTTCCTATCCCTTCCCATATCCTGCTCTCCCACCCATATCTACACTGCCCCCCCCACCCCTCCCCACCAAAGTTGTAAAGTTTGTTTTTCGACATAGTAAGTCTTAATTCTTTTTTTTTTTTTTGTCATGGGGCTTGAACTCTTACCTTAGAAACTTTTCAGGGCTCTTCATGAGAATTCTTAGTTTGACACTTGCTTAGCACCACTTGCTTAGCACCTTCAGTAGCATGGAGAAGGTTAAGAATTACATTGGGCTTCCCTTCAGAAGCCATGTAAAAGGAAATCTCAGTCACAGAGAACAAGGGGTATACACCTTGCAGATGTATTTTGGAAAAATCCTCAGTAAACCAGCCGAGCTCTAAAGTAGAATTCAGAAATCCATGAGGATTAGGAAAGGAGTTAAGTACACATACTATTCAAAATGTCTACTTTCCCTTCAAACTTTATAAACAAAAGGAACAAGGAAAAAATACCAGTCTTTCTCAGAGAAATGCTTCCTAACTTTTCTGAGATCAGCAGTAATCTTAGCCAAATCAGACAAAGACACTACAAGGAATCTGTGGTTTTTCCCTTGTAAGTATTGATGTGAAAATACTTCAACAGAATGCCAGAAAACTAATTTCAGTAACTTTAAAAGAATATGTGGGGCTGGGAAGGTGGCTCAGTGGTAGAGCATTTGCTTTGCATGCATGAGGCCCTGGGTTCGATTCCTTAGCACCACATAAGCAAAAAGAAAAAAACCGGAAGTGGTGCTGTGGCTCAAGTGGTAGAGCACTAGCCTCGAGCTGAAGAGCTGAGGGACAGCGCCCAGGCCCAGAGTTCTGGCCCTACGACCAGACCGGAAAAAAAAAAAAGAATATGTGCCAGGCTGAGAATGTGACTGAGTGGTATAGTGCTTGCTTCTCATGCATGAAGCCCTGGGTTCAATTCCTCCATACCAAGTACACAGAAAAAGACAGAAGTGGCGCTGTGACTCAAGTGGTAGAGTGCTAGCCTTGAGCAAAAGAAGCTTAGGGACAGTGCTTAGGCCCAGAGTTCAAGCCCCAGGACTGGCAAAAAAAAAAAGTCAGGCATTGGTGGCTCACACCTGAAATCCTAGCTACTCAGGAGGCTGAGATCTGAGGATCACAGTTCAAAGCCAGCCAAGGCAGGAAAGTCTGTAAGACTATTACCCCCCAGTAAACCACCAGAAAACTGGAAGCGCTGTGGCTCAAGTGGTAGAGCGCAGCCTTGAGCTGAAGAGCTGAGGGACAGCGTCCAGGCCCAGAATTTAAACCCCATGATGGACAAAAGAGTCTCATGGTCTTTCGTGCTTGGACTGGCTGGCTTTGAACCTTGATCCTCAGATCTCAGCCTCCTGAGTAGCTAGGATGACATGCGTGAGCTACTGGTGCCCGGCTTCTTATTCATTTTATTGTAGGTTCTTTTGGACTGAACCTTGTCGTCTCATGTTTCCCTTGCCTAGTATCAACTCTGTCAGTGCATGTTTTCACCCTCAAATGGGACAGAATGACAGACTGGACGAGCCAATGGTAGTTGGGCTGTAATAAAAACCCCTAGGTTAGACTCAGGGGAAGTTGTCCTAGGTCAGGCAAGTTGTCCACAGTGATTCTCTAGCAACTCATTGGTTACATTAACCACTTCTGTGGAGGATTCCGATGTGGTAGTATGATTCTTGAATTTGCCTTTCCGTCTTTCAGGTTTTTGGGGACAATTTTTGCCCTGGGATTGTGACGAATCTAATAAGGCTTGTTGATTTTTCAACATTTTACTTGTTGGGACATCTGCACATACCAGACTGGAAGCCAGAAATCTTAAATGCTGGGTTTTGCTCTGGAATGGGTGTGTGGGCCCTTACTAGTCCACATGTGTTGTTACTGTGTGCCATCTGTCAGCGCTGCTTTTCCTTTTCTATGCCAACTTCTAAAACTTCCTTCCCTGCTTACTTTATGACTAGAGGGTTCTCATTTTTCCATTTCCCTTTCTAAAATTGAAGCATGTAGATAATAAGGTAATCTCTTGTGTACCTTGATAAATATTTATGTCTGTGTATGCCTCTAACTACTTCTCAGATCTAGAAATAGTATATTTCCAGTCTTTCAGAGTTCCCTTGCCGCCTCCTTCACAGTGGTCACCTCCTGAAGTTACCACCTCTGATTTGCACCTTGCTAGACAAGTTTGCCTCATTCTATCATATCTGTGTGTCTGGCATCATTTGCTCAAATATTGTGTTTTATCTACATCTCAAGAATTTTTTTTTATTTCTAGGTAATGGTACCACCCTTTGCATATTCAATTGCCTGTTTATGAACAAGTGGAGGGTTTCATAGGAAGCTACCACGAACATTTGTGTACAGATCATTGTGTAGAGAAGAGTTTTCATTTCTCTGGAATAGCTGCCTCAGGGTTCACTGGTAAAATAAGAGCTTAAAAGAGCTGTTAATTTTTGGTGCTGTTTGTTTTGTCTTCATAGTTTCACTCTTTAAGCTTGCAAGCTGTGATGCCATGAGCCACAGTGGCCATTTCATCTGATGGCTCTGGGCACGAGCAAATACAGATGGGTGTCAGCTGCTTCAAGCTGAGGGCAGAGTGCCAGTGCAAAAGCCAAGGCAGAGCCTGAGCCTCAGCAGCTGCTTCTGGGGCACGCTTAATGACTGCCCTGAATGTCTTAGTGCTCTCATGCACCCAGCTGCCCAGCTGCTGTTTGTTCTCCAACTAAATTTAACATGGAGAACAACTATATAGAGCCATTTTCTGAAATGCTAACTGCATGGCAGAGGTTGTATTGTGACTAGTGTCCTCTTTCACAGTTGCTCCTTGCCCCTGATGATGCCCTTTAATGGAGTGGAGAGGCCCCAGCACATAGAGTCATCAGCCTGGCAATGTGTTTTTGGTTTTGGTTTTTTTTTTTTTTGGGGGGGGGGGGTCCAGTCGTGGGACCTGAACTCTGGCCTGGGCGCTGTCCCTCAGCTCCTCAGCTCAAGGCTAGTGCTCTACCACTTGAGCCACAGCACCACTTCCGGCTTTTTTCTTTTTGCTTAATGTTGTGCTGAGGAATTGAACCCAGGGCCTCATGCATGCAAGGCAAGCGCTCTACCACTGAGCCACCTTCCCAGCCCCTGGCAATGTTTATGAAATGATACTTTCTGGGAGTGGTTTTTTTTTTTGTTGTTGTTTGTTTGTTTGGTTGTCGGTCAGTTGTGGGGCCTGAACTCTGGACCTGGACGCTGTCCCTCAGCTCTTCAGCTCAAAGCAAGTGCTCTACCACTTGAGGCACAGTGCCACTTCTGATTATGAGTAGTTTTATTGGAGATAAGACTCTCACAGATTTTCCTGTCTCCGCTGGCTTTTTTTTTTTTTTTTAATTGTAAAGATGCTGTACAGAGGGGTTACAGTTACATGAGTAAGGCAACGAGTACATTTCTTGTCAAGCATTGTTATCCCTTCCCTTGTTGTTCTCCCACTATCCCTCCTTCCCTAACCCCCCTCTCCTTGTGGCTTTGAACTGCCATCCTCAGATCTCAGCTTCCTGCATAGCTAGGATTATAAGGCGTGAGCCACTGCACCCCTCTACAAACTCTGTTCTTTAATTCCCAGAAGAAATGAGAGTTTCAGAATACTAGCAGGGAGGGGAGGGAAGACTTATCAAGGTGACTTTCTGATAAATGGCAGATAATTCTACCCTTTCCCACTTTAAGGGGATGCTCCAACTTCTAGAAGCTGTTGTATTCCTTTTCTCTCAGCCCCTTCCTCCCTCTTCAAAGCTGGTTGTTCTGTTATCCCAGCTCTGATTCCGGCTTTCTTATTTCTTTTTGCAAGTACCCTGGGACCCATTTAGGTGATTCATTGTCATTATGAGGCTTGAACTCTGGTTTTGGGCACTGACCCTGAGCTCTTCAGCTCAAGGGTAGCACTTTTACCACTTGACCACACTTGAACCACAGCACCACTTCCGGTTTCCTGGTGGTTAATTGGAGATAAGTGTCTCATGGACTTTTCTGCCCGGGCTGGCTTTGAGCTGATTCTTAGATCTCAGCTTCCTGAGTAGCTAGGATGACAGGCGTGAGCCACTGGTGCCCGTCTTGATACATGAATTTCTTTTTGCTGCTTTGTTCATGCAAAGTACTTTGTCCCTAAATTTCAAAATGTTCTTCCAACTAAGAAATCTTTTGACGTTCATTGTACAAAATGTGTATGTTCGTGAAAGAAACCTTTTATTTAGAATTTATACCTGTAGTCAGATATGAAACAGTTGTGCTTTTTGCCTGTGTTTGTTGAGGTTTATGCTAGATAAAATTCATTAAAACCATTCTATCTTGTCCTGGGGTAAAAATTGACTAATTATTCAAAAATTAGCTAAGATTCAGCCGTATCCATGTGTAAATGCAGCATGGCACAGGATCAGGGGATGAATGAATCCCTGCCCTAAGCCCACGCTCTTGGCTTTGTCTGGGCTGTGGCCTCAAGGGCTGCTTAGTCCATGTCCAGGAAGGAACTAAGGCCTTGCTGTTGGGAAAGGCCAGGTATCCATGTCACACTGCACTGCAGGATGGAAGGGAAACATCAAGAGAGAGAATGGGAGCCAGTTGGGGGCATATTTGGAGGTCTGGGGTCTGTAGCTCTGAGGTCTGTTGTTTGGTAGGAAGCCCCCACAGATCTCCTCAGATGTGGATTGTGTGCCTGGTGGTCAGTGCTGTGGGGCCTTGGTGGATGTTGGCTCCAAGTTGCACACTGGCTGCCTTGTGGACTGTGCCTTTCACAGAGCTAAGAAGATTCAGGGTATCCTTTTACTTGATGTATATCTTGCCTTTTATGTTCAAGCCCAGCTGGGATGTCCACAGCTGCCACCACTGTGTCCAGTGCATTGAATACTGTTGGAAAAGAGAGGCGCTAGAACCTGTCCTAGGGAGCTTCTGCCTCCACTTCGCAGTTCTTCGCCAAATAGCTGCTGGGCTTTAGGCTCATAGAGGTGCCTCAGCCTGAAGGGACAGACACATCAACTCAGCCAGTGCTGTGTCTTGATGCCAGAGAAGCAAGGAGTCTGCCTTGGAGTCAGACTCTTCAGCAGGAGGTGGCTGTGGTCTGAGAATCTTTCCCAGGGCTTTGATTTGGGCCCCTAAGGTTCTTTTTTACTTTGTAAGGACACAAGGTTTCCTCAGCATCTCTCCAAGTCTAGGGTTAGGGGTGTTGGTTCAGGCCTGTGCCTTGACTGGGCCATAAGAATGAATTGTTGGCTTGTGATTTGTTAACCATTTTCTATCTTTTTTCTTTCCTTAAGAATCCAGAAGAGAAGGCAAGAAGTACTGTGTATTTGAAGTCATAGTGGACGTAAGTTGCATTCAGTATTTCTTGAAAAGGGCTTTTGGTTTTTCAGAGCCCTGTCAAATTCCAGAGCTACCGAAAATTTACATTGGTGATTTGGCAGAAGAGTAGAAAAAGCCAGATTTCTGGTGGTGTCTCAAACCAGTCTCAGGTTTGCTCTGCATAAACTGTGTTTTGTGATCTGGAATTTCCACTTCCCTGATGTCCATTCTCAGTCGTGACCTGCCCTGTGATGGTGGGGAACTTACAGCACTGTAGGGTTATCCACTCCAGTCTCACTAATTTCTTTGTTGTCCCCTCTAGGATCACTGAAGTAGCCTTTTTGCTTACAAATTTCTAACAGCCTGGAATGCCTGCCTGCCTGCCTGCCTGCGCTCTAAATATTTTTCCCAAGGTAGAAATAACCTAATTGCTTCTTTTCTAGTGACTGAATATAGGATTCTTGTAATTTTCAAAACTAAGATCACTAAGGTCACTCATGGTACCACCATCTAAATCTTGTCACTTAATATTTTTAAATGATTTTATCTGTACATAAGAATGGGTATGTGACTGTGTAAGACCATACTATAATAGAAACGAAACTAACCGAAGTAGCACTTACTTTGAACCTCTGTGGTGTGAACGTCTTTCCATGTGTAGTCTTGTTTAATCCATATAACAATCCCATGAGATAGATATACTAGTAATTTCATGTGCTCAGCAAGCACTTTATCACCGAGTTACATCCCTGCCCTTTTTTAAAGTGGTGATGATATAGAAAAATGGATGGGATTTGGGACCTGACTTTTATTTTGTTGAACCTAAGTTTGAAAGAAGCTATAGTTATATAAATTATATTCCTTTTCAGTGACAGACTTTTATAAAGTACTTTGCGATGAGAAAATAGGGGCAGTGGGAGGTGTATGTTGTGTACTCTGTATTAACTGAATAACACCACTTAACACCACTTATGACCTGGACTTGGTTTATGTTTGTACCTGGGTGGTTACATGTGCTGAAGTCCCAGGTTTGCACTTGTCACTGGCCCCATTTCTGCTAACCCATCCTTGTTGAGAGCCAGCAGACCTTGGCTCCCCAGTGGAGCCCCTGCTGAATCTCCTCCATTTTCTTTCATACAACCTAAAACATTTAGTTCATTGATTTTACAAACAGCATATTTGTTTGTGGTTTAAGGGCTTGAAGTTCAATGATGTGGTCATTTACTTCTCTCATCTGGAATGGGAATGCTTAAGCTCCGCTCAGAAGGATTTGTACCAAGATGTAATGTTGGAGAACTACAACAACCTTGTCTCATTGGGTAAGTGTACCTATAACCCCTCAAAATACATAATTGGCTTTCTAGAATTTGTCTTTTTCATGATTTTTTTTTTTTCTTTTTCTCTTTTTTTTTTGGGTCCAGTCGTGGGGCCTGAACTCTGGCACTGGGCACTATCCCTCAGCTCTTCAGCTCAAGGCTAGCGCTCTACCACTTGAGCCACAGTACCACTTCTGGCTTTTTTCTTTTTGCTTATGTGGTGCTGAGGAATCGAACCCAGGGCCTCATGCATGCAAGGCAAGCACTCTACCACTGAGCCACCTTCCCAGCCCCATGATTTTTTTTTTTTATTAATTTATATTGACTTTTTTTTTTTTTTGGCCAATCCTGGGACTTGAACTCAGAGCCTGGGCACTGTTCTTGAGCTTCTTTTGCTCAAAGCTAGCACTCTACTACTTGAGCCGTAGCACCACTTCTGGCTTTTTATGTGTATGTGGTACTGAGGAATCAAACCCAGGGATGGCTTCATGCATGCTAGGCAAGCACTCTACCACTAAGCCACATTCCCAGTCCTTGACTTGTTTTGTCATGGAGCTTGAACTCAGGGCCTGGGCAATGTCCCTGAGCACTTTTGCTCAAGGCTAGTGCTCTACCACTTTGAGCTACAGCTCTACTTAAGGTTTTCTGCTGGATAAGTGGAAATAAGTCTCACAGGATTTACCTGCCCTGGCTGTTTTTGAACCATAATCCTTGGATCTCAGCCTCTTGAGTAGCTTGGATAACAGGCATGAGCTACCAGTACCTGGCCTTTATTTTGGCTTTAAATACCTAAGTGAATCATTCTTGTTTTTCAAAGAGTCTGAGTCCCTTTTTCCACAAGTGGGCCTCTCCTATTGGGCATCTTGGTCTTTTTCATTCCTTTGATCTTCACTCCCCTCCTTTTTTTTGTGCCCATCCTAAGGATTAAACTCAGGGCCTGGGCACTGTCTATGAGCTTTCTTGCTCAAGGCTAGCTGGCACTCTTCTTGAGTCACAGTTCTACTTCCAGGGGTTTTTTTGGGTGCTTAATTGGACAAAGCAGTCTCACAGCTTTCTAGCTCAGCCTGGCTTGGAACTGTAATCCTCAGATCTCAAGTCTCTTGAGTAGCTAGCATTACAGACACGAGCCACCCGCTTCCCTCCTTTTTCTACTTGCTTCTCTCACTGATTTTTTGTGAGGGCGGTCGGGAAGTCCTGGGGCTTGAACTCAGGGCCCTGAGCTTCTGTTAGCTCAAGGCTAGCATTTGAGCCACAATACCCCTTTTTTATAGTATGGAGGAATCAAACACAGGCTTCATGCATGTTAGGTAAGCAATCTATCCCTAAGCCACATTACCAGTCCGGCTCACTGATTTTTTTTTTTTTTTGGGTCCAGTCATGGAGTCTGAACTCTGGGCCTGGGCACTGTCCCTCAGCTCTTCAGCTCTCTACTACTCTCTAGCACTCTACCACTTGAGCCATTTCTACCTTTTTCTGCTTATGTGGTGTTGAGGAATCAAACCCAGGGCCTTGTGCGTGCAAAACAAGCAGTCTACCACTGAGCCACCTTTCTAGCCCCCTCTCACTGATTTTTGTGATATCCATAACATAATCTCTTTTTTCCTTGAGCAGGACTTTGTGATACTAAGCCACATGTCATCTCCTTATTGGAGCAGGGGAAAGAGTCCTGGATGGTTATGAGGAAGACAACAGTGTGGCATCCAGGTGAGTAGTGAATAATATTGGGTGACATTGTGGCTGTCACTCAGCCAGATTGTGAGAAAGCAACTCTGTCATAGGACAGCCTGAAACTGGGAGGGAGGGGGGGGCCAAAAAATGATCCAATTACCACTGGCTTACTGCTGTTTAGATTGCCCTCACAGTTCAGAAAGGCCCTTTTCCTTCCACTGTGTCAGTCCTTTCCCCTGTACAATTTTTCTTTTCACTTTGGGACTTGTGTTTGCCAGGCAACTAAGGCTCTAACACATCCAGCTTTTGGTGGAGGAAGTCGTTTTGCTCCACAAGCATGAGCCATCACACTCAACTTTTTAAAATAGCTTCATTGGAAAAGTGATTATTAGGTTTTAGTACATTTGCAGAGTTGTAGCCATCAAATTATAGAATATTTTCATTAAACCTCCAAATAAAAGGTACATTAGTCACTTCCCTTCCCTAAGCAACTAGCAATCTATTTTCTCTAATATTTATGTACCTGTTCGGGACATCTCATATTAATATTTAACAGGCATTTTGTGACTAGCTTCTTCCATGTCAATACTTTCAGTAATTGCTTTATCTAAATCTACTAAGATACCCTGTAGTTTGTCCTTTGTTCTGTTATATAAAAGGACGTGTAGTATTTATGTTAAACCCACCATGCTTTTTAAGGGTAAGTTACACCTGGTTTGTTAATACCTTTATGTTGCAGGATTTCTGTTTTAGTATAAAACATTTGAGTGTAAACTATAGAGGAATTCAAGAGAAAGAGTTATTTCCATTGTGGGGAAATGCAGAGATGAATCCTTGTGGTGACTTTGCATCAGTGCAATACTAGCCTCAGAACCAATTGAAAAATAATCTTTTTTGCCTTTCTGACATTTTTGAATACACACACATACATACACATTTATAAAATACATGTTTTTAATTTTTTTTTGCCATCCTGGAGTTTAAGCTCAGGGTCTAGGCACTAGCCCTGAGCTTCCTTTGCTCAAGGCTAGCACTCTGCTATTTGAGCCACAGCTCCATTCTGAGCTTTTTCTGTGTATGTGGTACTGAGGATTCCAACCCAGGGTTTCATGAATGCTAGGCAAGCGCTCTACTACTAAGCCACATTCCCAGCCCTGAATTGTTATTTTTGTTTTTTTTTCTGGTCCTGGTGCTTGAACTCGGCCTGGTCAGTGTCCCTGAGCCTCTTTGTGCTCAAAGCTAGTACTCTACCACTTGAGCCACACCACCACTTCGGGCTTTTTCTGAATAGCTTATTAGAGGTAAGAGTCTCATGGATTTTTCTGCCTGGCCTGGCTTCAAATTGTAATCTCAACTCTCAGCCTTTTGAGTAGCTAGGATTACAGGCATGAGCCATGGGCACCTGGCCTATTAAGTTTATTTTAAATGTTTGCTACAATCCAGTAAGGCCATGTTTCTGAAAGTAGCTGGGCCTACAGGTGATTACCACTGCACCTAGCTAATTTCTACATGGATACCCTTAGTCTTGTTAATATTCATGGAACTGTGTTATAGGATGCTTATATCATGACGGATGAAATTATACTTGTGCTAGTTCTTTGCCAGTTACAACTCGGCAAAAGATTTATAGAACAGAGCACTTGACCAAAAAACTAAAGAATTCAGAATGAAAAAACTGATAACTGCAGAAATTCTAGAATAGAGCATTCTTAGAAGTCTGGAAGGATCCAAAATAAGCAAACCAATGGTACAAAACTGGGCTGTAAGGTGAGCGGGGACTGGGGGAAATGCCACACCCCAAGCTGCAAGGAAAGCATGCTCAAGAGAAAGGTGTTTTTTGTTTTTTGTTTTTGCTGGTTCTGGGGCTTGTGCTCTACCACTTGAGGTATCTGTTAAGTTAGAAGTGATGGACAAGGATGTCTACAAGCTGGATTAACAAATAGGGAATAAGGAAATAGAGCCAGATGTTTCCTGTGGCATCATGCAAGTTCATGTCCAATATGAAATTTTCGAAAATACAGATAAAAACTTTCATAATATTGGAAAATAGGTAAGATGACATGCTACCAGAAAATGGAATGGAATGGGGAGGGTGCTATTCTGAAACTTGTGCTTTAACAAGGGCTCTGAAGAAAGAAGCAGTAACCAAGTGATCCACATGAACATAGCAGGAAAGGCATTCACCAGCAGGTTCTAAAGGGAACTGTCCTTGGTGAGCTGGATGGAGGACACACAGTTGGTCAGGTAGCAAAGGCAGGGGTGGCATAGGACAGGGTTGTGGAAGGTACAACATAGCATCTTTGACTTTCCCGATTAAGAAGGATTTTGAGTAGAGTGACATGATCTATTGAGGGTGTGGATATACGGACAGCAGCCAAGCTAATAGGATAAGATGATAGTATAGGCAGTTAGGTAAAATCTGGTTATTTTTTAAACCTAGAGATGAGATTTTGCTGTTGGTGGTAATGTCATACTCATTTAGCAAAGGTGGTTTCTGGTCAAAATTCCTATTCTGATTGTGATTTTCTACCTTCCTTTTGGAGCTCTTATTTCTATTTCCCCTCCAAATTGCAACGAGTGACAATAGTAAATTTTCACTATCTTTGTTTATTTTGGTACTAGTATGAAGGCTTGAACTTAGGGGCCTCACTGGGCTTTCTTGCTGGTATTCAACCACGTGAGCCACAGCTCCGGCCCAGCTTTTTTGCTTGTGAATCGGAAGGTGAAATAGTGAAATGTGCCCAAATTGGCTCAAACTGTAAACCCTCCTGAGTTAGCTGACATTACAACATTACAAGCATGAACCATTGCGGCCCACCTAATTGTTTTTGTTTGTTTGTTTTTTGTTTTGCCAGTCCTGAGGCTTGAACTCAGGGGCTAGGCACTGTCCCTCAGCTTCTTTTGCTCAAGGATAGCAGCACTCTACCACTTCACCCACAGCTCCACTTCTGGCTTTTTGTGTTTATGGGTACTGAGGAATCGAACTGGGGGTTTCATGCATGCTAGACTAGCACTCTACCACTAAGCCATATTCTCAGCCCTGCTGTCATTTCTAACTTCAGAAGTGTTCTCCTGAAATATGAAAATACTTCTGCTTTCTTTCAGACTGTGAGTCTAGATGGAAAACCAAGAATATATTGCCAAAGGACAGTTCTCTCCATTTGCAATGGTTTAATTTTATAAAAGAAAAACATACACACTCCAACCTTAATGGCAGCAGCGTCTCAGGCCAGTTGGAGAGTAGAGCAGAGCCTCGGGAGGGAAGCCTACGACAGCCGGGGAAAGCCTCGCCAGAAAGGCCCACTTCCATTCAGCATTCAGCCCGGAAAGGCCCTCCGCCAGCTCACACTGGAGAGAAGTGTCAGAAAGCTGTCAGGAGCCAGTCATGTCCCGTTCCGCACAGACGAACTCCTGGTAAGGAAAAAGACTGTGAATGTGGAGAGTGTGGGAAAATCTTTGATAGTGAGTCCAGCTTGATTAAGCACCAGAGAGTTCATAAAAGCAAAAAAAGCACTGAAAATGAGAAAGGGGCCTCAAGCGCCCCCATGGGTGAGAAAGTTCACAAGTGTAAGGAGTGTGGGAGAGCCTTTCATTCTACCTCACAACTTAGGCAGCACCAAAAGATGCACGCAGGTGAGAAGCCCTACAAATGTCAGGAATGTGGGAAGGCGTTTCCGTCTAATGCCCAACTTAACCTTCACCACAGAGTCCACACGGATGAGAAGTGCTTTGAGTGTAAGGAGTGCGGGAAGGCCTTTACCCGCTCCTCACACCTTCTCCGACACCAGAGAATCCATACAGGCGAGAAGCCCCATAAGTGTAAGGAGTGCGGGAAAGCCTTTCGCTATGACACGCAGCTTAGTCTCCATCAGATCACTCACACTGGGGAGAGGCGCTATGAGTGCAAGGAATGTGGCAACGTGTACAGCTGCGCCTCACAACTGAGTCTGCACCAGAGGATTCACACGGGGGAGAAACCCCACAAGTGTAAGGAGTGTGGGAAAGGGTTCATCTCTGACTCGCACCTCCTGCGGCACCAGAGTGTCCACACTGGGGAGAAACCCTACAAGTGTAAGCAGTGTGGGAGCGCCTTCCGGCGCGGCTCGGAGCTCACTCGCCACCAGAGAGCTCATGCTGGGGAGAAGCCCTATAAATGTAAGGAATGCGGAAAGGCCTTCACATGTAGCACAGAACTAGTGAGACATCAAAAAGTTCACACTGGTGACCGACCCCACAAGTGTAAGGAATGTGGGAAGGCTTTCATTCGAAGATCGGAACTTACCCATCATGAAAGAAGCCACACTGGTGAGAGACCTTATGAGTGTAGGGAGTGTGGAAAGGCCTTCGGGCGAGGCTCAGAACTTAATCGACACCAGAAAATTCACACTGGTGAAAAGCCCTATGAGTGTGAGCAGTGTGGGAAGGCCTTTATCCGTGGCTCTCACCTCAGTCAGCATCAAAGAATTCATGCAGGACAGAGGAGTGAGTAGAGGGAAAGGGACATGGTTTTGATTTAACACCTATGGTGAAATTATATAAGTAAGTTCTTCCAGAATTTAGCCAACAGGAATCAATTGGTAAAATACTAGAAAATTGATGAAGAAAGAGTGGGGATCCCATTTTGGTGTCTCAGAACCAAGTCAACCTCAGGGAACTTAGTCAGAGAAATGAATCTTCAGGACATCTTAACATCAGGGTTACTCACCTGGTAATTCAATCTTTTTTTTCTTTGGCCAGTCTTAAGGCTTGAATTCAGGGCCTGGGCACCTTGTTTCTGAGCCTCTTTGTACATAAGACTTGAGCCACAGCACCACTTCTGAGTAGTTTACTGACTTTTCTGCCTGGGCTGGCCTTGCATTGATTGCTATCCTCACATCGCAGCTCCTGAATAGCTAGGATTACCAGCATCCGGCCATTCAGTCTATTTGAGAAAGGTTATGTTGGTGTTAAAATGCAGCAAATTTTGAGATACCATGAAGATTAAATACGTAACCTTAGAAAGGTCTGGCTAGTAGTGATAGTGTGCCAGAGGAAAGCTGTTGTTAGGAATACCTATGTCTGGTGACTTTTTGGGGGCCTCTTGATCATTTTCTTTCTGTGCCAGTCGTGGGGCTTGAACTCAGGGCTGAGGCATTGTTCCCAAGCTTTTGCTCAAAGCTAGCATTCTACCTCTTAAACCACAGCTTCACCTGTGGCTTTGTGATGTTAGTTGAAGAACTTATGGACTGCCTGGGCTGTCTAGCTCTAACCTGATTGATCCTCAGATCTCAGCCTCTTAAGTAGCTAGTATTACAGGCACCCACTCTTAATTGACTCTTAATTCCTTCTAGAGACACAGTAAAGTTTTCTTTCATATTTTGCCCCTTTGCCTCCTCAGCTGAGTGGGAATGTAAAGAAACCCTGCAGGAGAAAGTTAGGTTGCTCTGAAATCAACAGGATTTAGAGATTTATTAAAACCTCCCAATCTAGGCATGATGGTACATAGCTAAGCTAGAGCGAAGAGAATCATAAGTTACAAGCCAGCTAGCACCACACAGTGAGAGACCCATTTTAACAATGCCTCTCATTAAAAGCAACTTGCCCCTGGTAGTGAATATGAAAGAGAACTCCCATGTGGAAGGAAGTTAATGAGGTGGGAAGCAGCTCTTCAATTAACTTCTCTTGTGTGTAATGGGAAGGGCGAGCATTTGTCTGGCTGTACTATTGATTCCTAATAATTTTTTCTTTAATTGTCGGTTGTGGAGCTTGAACTCTGGGCCTGTGTGCTGTCCCTCAGCTCTTCAGCTCAAATTTAGCACTCTTATCATTTGAGCCACAGCACCACTTCCAGTTTTTTGATGGTTTATTGGAGATAACAGACTCATGGACTTTCCTGCCCAGGCTGGCTTTGAACTGCGATCCTCAGATCTCAGCCTCTCAACTGGGATTACACGCAGCAGCCACTGGCACCCAGCTCTAATAAATTCTTTGTACAAGAAGCTCTAACAGAATGTAAAGCAGAGCTAAAACCTTTTTCTGAAATTATGATTCTATCCTCTAAAGAAACAAAGCATCATGCATTAGGCAAAAGAGATTTTTAGCTGGGTATAGTAACATGCACCTATCATCAACAAAAGAGGAAGATCTTCGTCCAGGCCATCCTGGGCATAAGATAGTCTGCCTTAAAAAGAGCCAGTGTAAAAAAGATGCTGGCAGAGTTGCTCAAGTACTACAGCACAGGATCCCTGAGTTCAAACACCAGAATGGCAAAGAAAAGGGGTAGGGGAATAAACAACCGTATAGTGGAGACACTGTTGGTTTAGCCACTGTTAACATTCTCCTAAGTAAATGCTTGTTTCCTTGTGCTTCTGGCCACTGGGCTGAGCAGAAGTCTGCAAATGGACTTCTGTTGAATTTTCTTTCCCAATGAATAACAAAAATAGTTTTACTAACTACAGAATGTGTATGTGGTCATTTTGTAATCAGAAGGCCTAGGCTGAGATTGACCTGGGACAGCTAGAACAGCACAGGTCCAATGCAGTTGTCTACTTGCTATGGTCACCATGTAGTAGATTCACTCCCCACCCCCTCGCTGTGTTTTTTGGTTGGTGAGTGCTGGGGCTTGAACTCTGGTCCTGGGAGCTATTCCTTAGCTCTTCAGCTCAAGAGTAGCATTCTACCACTTGAGCCACAGTGCCACTTCTGGTTTTCTGGTAGTTAATTGGAGATAAGAGTCTCATGGACTTTCCTGCCCTTTGAACTATGATTTCAGCTTCCTGAGTAGTTAGGATTACAGGTGTGAACCACCAGTGCCCCGCCATAAATCTATTCTTGAACTATTTTGTTGTATCTTTAGTTTAATAAAGTACAGATTACCATAATGCTAGTTTCATTATAATTTCTAATATTTTGAGTTGTTAAAAAATATATTATTTAGCTTTTTAAGAATTAAGGGCTGCATCTCATGGTACAGAACACTTGCCTATCAAGCCCAAGTTCAAGCACCAGTATGGTCACAAAGCAAAATACCTTTTGTAGTGGTAAATGCTTGTAATCGCCATCTATTCAGGAGGTGGAAACCAGGACCATCACAATCTGTTTTCAATCAAATTTAAGCCAAGAATGTACTAAGTATATTATAGACTTTTTTTTTTTAAAGCAAAACTACAGACACTGATTGTTCTTCTGTCCTGCATTCTCAGGAAGACATTCACATCTAGATTTGTTTGGTACAAGGAGGTTAGGGGTGGGCCCATGATAGTACAGCCTCTTTTTCTTATGGACAGCCTTCTAGTCAGAACCTACTGATCTAACCAGTTTTAGATTAAGTATACACATAAACTGTGATAAATGCAGTCCATCCACAAGTGAAAATTTGGGCGATTTTACCAGTAATTACACTACAGATTTTCTATACTTATTTTGTGCCTTAAAGTATTTTGTGTGTGTGTATTTTTTAAACAATATATTTAAAATGTAACTGTTAGTGCCTTGTCTGAAATTTACCATTGATATGAACTGCATGTGTATTTCCTGACAATTTGACCCAGAGTTGAAAAGGTGCCTTCAGTTTGCATTTAACTGCCAGTGAAGTTGAGCACCTACCTTGCTTAAAGGTCATTTGCTTTATGTCTGTGATTTTTTATCTCCTTCATTTGCATTTCCCAAAGTGATCTGTAGAAAATCACTGTAAAGGGGCCTGCTGCTGATATCTACTGAAATCCTGCTTGATGTCCTATAAATCATAGCTCCCAGTGACAAAATAAAGTGATCCAGAAGGTCACTGCATTGCTGGTTCTGACTGGATTTGTCTGGCTGTGGTCCAATAAAACAAGCATCAAGCCAAGTTTGGTCTATAAGCTGCAATTTGCTTACCTGTTTCTAAATGTTTTTGTTCTATGTCTTGTTTCTAATTCTCTTTCACCCCAAATATTTTTCCAAATTTCTATTTCATGCCTTTAAATCTTCTGCCTAAATACAAAGGCATCAGCACCTGTGTTATTGCCTCCGAGTAATTAACATGCATGTGATTTAATTACAATTTTGTACAATAAATAAATGGTTTTAGAAAAAGATGGTCCCTTTGTGAAGCCTCCATGTGTGAGACAAATGTACACGTGGAAGAGTGTGCTGTGGGACGCCCTGAGTTCTACGCATTCATCATCCTGCTCCTCTAGCATCCTGTTATATGTTGACAATTTGTTGAAAGAAAAGTAGTTCTTTATATTTTAAGCACTGAAGGATTTAACAAAGAAGGTTTTAATCTTCAGTGGGCCAACCAACCATGCAGATGGGCTGGCAGCATAGCATAGGAAAAAAAGTGGCGAGGACCCAGACTCGGAAAAGGCCTATTACTCCTCTGCTGCCACTTCCCATCACACAGACACCACCAGAGCCATGGTAGGAAAAAAAGTTGCTGTGTCACAAGCACTGTGAGAGAAGATGATTATTTTATACTACTTACATGAATATAACATTCTTTAGAAAAGTACTTGAATTTTACACTCCAGTACTTCACTGAGAATGTGCTCTGTGCTTACCTGAATAAACACACCTTAGCAGCTTCCAAGACTATCCAAAGAATCAATTCATGGACGCCAGTGGCTCACACCTGGCTCACACCTCCTAACTACTCAGGAGGCTGAGATCTGAGGGTTGCAGTTCAAAGCCAGCCCAGGCAAGGAAAGTATGTGAAACTGTTTAACTCCAACTAACCACCAGATAACTGAAAGTGGAGCTGTGGCTCAAGTAGAGCGTTCACCTTGAGCTGAAGAGCTGAGGGACAGCACCCTCCTGAGTAGCTAGGATTACAAGCATGAGCCACTGGCACCCAGCAGTTTTGACAATTTTTGGGTTTTTTGGTTTTTTTTTTTTTTTTTTTGAGTCCGGTCATGGGGCCTGAACTCTGGGCCTGGGCGCTGTCCCTCAGCTCTTCAGCTCAAGGCTAGCGCTCTACCACTTGAGCCACAGCGTCACTGCCGGCTTTTTTCTTTTCTCGGCTTATGTGGTGCTGAGGAATCAAACCCAGGGCCTCATGCATGCAAGGCAAGAGCTCTACCACTGAGCCACCTTCCCAGTCCCAGTTTTGACAATTTTTAACAATAACTTGGCACCTTTCAAAATCATGGAAGTGTGACAAACATACAATTAAGAGACCTAGGATAACTACACAAGGAGCCTAATAGCCAGAAAGATGGCTAACACTAACCAAAAGAAAGTTGGGCCAGGCGCTGGTGGCTCACGCCTGTAATCCTAGCTACTCAGGAGGCTGAGAGCTGAGAATCGAGGTTCAAAGCCAGCCCAGGCAGGAGAGACCGTGAGACTCCTATCTCCAATAAACCACCAGAAAACCGGAAGTGGCGCTGTAGCTCAAGTGGTAGAGCGCTCGCCTTGAGCTGAAGAGCTGAGGGACAGCGCCCAGGCCCAGAGTTCAAGCCCCACAAAAGTTGGGACCAGACTGGGAGTGTGTCTTAGTGGTAGAGTGCTTGCCTAGCATGCATGAAGTCCTGGGTTGGATTTCTCAGTATCACATAAACAAGAAGCCAGAAGTAGTGCTGTGGTTCAAGTGGTAGAGCACTAGCCATAAGCAAAAAACAGCTCAGGGACAGTGCCTAGGGGCATGGTTCAAGCATGAGAGCGCTTGCACTGTCATGAGGATTCCTTAAAAAATGGCTAATTCTAGAATTAGAGCTGGAAACATCCAAGATAGCCCTCGAGCATTTTATAATGCCTGAAGGTAAAGTACTAGGGGTGGGAAGGTAGTTCAGTGGTAGAGTGTTTGC